TCCACTCACCTCAGCCTCCCAAGGCACGGGATTACAGGCTGAGCCACTGAGCCCAACTTATTTAAAAACTCTTAAAACTCACTAATTAAAAATCAGAACTCCTAATTTTAAAAAAATGAACAAAAGACTTAATCAGATACTTACTCATAGAAGATAAATAGATGGCAAATTATATGATGCTCATAGATAGTCAGTTACATTAGTCATTAGGAAAATGCAGATTAAAACTGCAGTGAGCTACTACTACATGCCATTAAAATTACTAAAATGAAAAAGACTGACTTTTCCAGATGTGGAACAAGGAATTCTCATATCCTGCTGGTAAGAATGCAAAGTGGTATAACCACTTCAGAAAATTCTGTCTGCTTAAAAATTTAGACATATAGCTATCATATGATCTATTCATTCCACTCCTAGATGCTACCCAAGAGAAAGGAAAGCATATATCAATATAAATACGTGTACAGGAGTATTCACAGCAGCTTCATATGTAATAGTCCAAAACTGCAAACAACCCAAATGTCCATCAGTAGGAATGGATGAACAAATTGTGGCATAAAATGCTACTAAGTAAGTGGGCAACAGTCTTACCAAGTGTGTTGCCACTGCATACTGTGGATTCTCCATCTTTCTTCCAGTTTTAGTTCTCTTGCCACCCACTGTTCATCCCCTAAAGCCAGTGTCACATATTTAGTTTCTTTATCAGTCAAAATGGCCAGGTTATGCTGTAGTAACTACAATCTAAAATCTCAGTGACTTAAAGGTTTCTTTGCCATGAATTCTGTGTCCATTGTGGGTTAACTGAAAGTTCTGTTTTCTTTTGTTCTCGCTCTGAAACTCAGGCTGATGGAGAAGTCATTATCTGAAACCTTGCTGGTTGCTCTGAATGTTGACTTATTGAAAGCCACTGGTTATGTAGAAGTTAAGATGAATTTTCAAGCCTGACTGCTGCTTTATTTTCATTAGTATTAGTTGACTTTCTTATCATTTTAGCATGCATTAAAATCTTTCATAGCACCAATGGCTGTAATTTTCTTTAATCCATGGTATAAAAAAATCATAAAATATTGCTAACTTTTATTTAGAAGTGATTTTTTAGATGGAATTTTATTATTTCTGTGTGTTGGATAAGGAGCCTAAGAGGGTAAATGGATTGATAATGACCACATAGCAGATAAATTGGACTAGAACTGAGGGTTCCTATTTTAATACTTTTGTGAAAATTGAAGAAATATAATTGTACCATGTACTTACACATTCTTTATTTTGGCAGTGTTGTCAGCAGGCCACGTTTAAGAGGTGTCTCCTACTCCCTGTTGCCAGTGGCTGCAGCACAATGGATCACACAGGGGCAATAGATGCAGAGGATGAAGTGGGACCTTTAGCTCATCTTGTTCCAAGTCCTCAAAGTGAAGCTGTGGCTCACGAATTCCAGGAACTCTCCTTGCAGTCCAGCCAGCATTTACCTCCTATGAAAGAAAGGAAGAATGGTGAGTTGTTCAGCATGTGCAGTGGGAACTTTGATTTAAAGATTTACCCTCTTTGTTAGCCTATTTACTCCTCTTTGGTAGTAATCTTTTGGTCAGTTACATTCAACAGTCTGTCACAGAGGAGAATCCTATCGAGATACTGGATGGTTTTGAATAACAGGCAGAATTTCATTTTCCATTCAATTCTTTTATTATTTCCCTAGTATCTTTGGTAGCAACATTATCTTTGGAAATAATCTTTAGATTTAACCATTTTAGCATAAGCAGAAGATTTCATGCTGGAATGGCATTGGAAAGTAGCTTCCTATGCGGATATCAGGGAAATAGGATATTGTGGATATGACTACCTTCTACACCCACTTTCTCTGTCTCCAGTGTGTTGCATATTAATTTCACAAGTGGCAAAATTGAAGTTGTTCAGTGGTAACTAAAAAGGCAAGAACCTCTTATTTGAGTCTTTTTTATATTAGTAGTTGTAGGACACAACCATGTTCTCAGTCTTTGGTTGACTCATCTTTGTCTCCAAAATGAATATTTTCTATTCACTTTTTAAAATCTGTTCAGGAAATTTTCATTGGTCACAGAGTTTTCTGAAAACAACACTGCCAGTTTTTAACATAAATTAGTAGACATAGATGATATATACTTACTTTTAATACTTTAAAACTAACAAATACAAAGTTATGTTAAAATTTGCAAGCACACTAAGTGTACATATTTAAAAAGGGAGAATTTAAAATTTTGACTGGAATTGTTGCACTTTTTACAGTTCTGATGAGTCTTACACTTATAGAATTCTTAAATTTCAATTTTAACAGCCAGAAGAAATAAAAACTTTCCCCCACAGAATCCTGTTACCTTCTTCTGAATGATTTCCAATCCTTCCCATCATTGACCTTATCTTATTTTAGGAAAATGAATAAAACATACACATACCACTGTTCTTTGTCCTTTAGTACACGCATGTCTTTGGTGTGTACTTTGGCATGCTTCAAGTAAAATATGTTTTGCATTGTTTCTGAATCTTGCTAGGCACCACCCTTGACCATTTTGATTGATCGAAAGCAACATCTTAGCTTAGGTACTGTCAACACCTTCAGGAGGCTGTGGCTGACTGGTTGGTAATGGCTTCCAAACCTTTTATCGATTAGGAACCTTGTGACTGAGAGAATATAACCACATTGACTGAAACATGACTAAATGTGATTAGATTTACACAGTACTCTTGGACCAGTATAATGCTCAGATTATTACCCAAAAAGAAAAAATGGTATAAAATCAGAATATACAGTTGCTTTAAAAAAAATGGCCATCTATGGCAGAGAAGGGAAGTGTGTGAGGAAAGTTTATACTTGATGGGCACTCACTGATGCAGCTCACTGCATTCTCCATTCTCTTGCAAAGGTTAACATATATGCCTGAATATAAGGCAAGTCCAAATATAGGATAGTCTTCCCTTATAAACTTTTAGTGAGGTAGATGAAATGGTAAAACTTTTAATTTAGTAATTTAGTTACATTTTATGAAACAATGCAGTAATAAGAAGGATTACTTTATCCACTGTCGTCATTCATAAAACCGTCCTGTTCAAACTCTACACACGAATCTTTGTGGTCAGTGTTTTTTATCATCAGTAGAACCCCATGTATCATCATCTGTCTAGCACTAACTTCCAGGATGTATCTTCATTTCTGTCTCTTTTGTTTGAGTTACAGCAGTTTTTATTTAATACACACATGATCTAACACTGAAAATTTCATGTCTAAATTTTACATACCATTAACAAAATAGTCTTCCTTAATTGTCTTATGTTCATAATCTCTGCAACATAATCACTTATATTTGGTTTGTCATTGGTTGTAACATTTTGTGGGGGTCTAGCTTCTGTTTTAGAATTGAGCTTTTTTTTTTTTTTGGTTAGCAGATAATATATTCACATGGCTTAAATTGTTATAGGTACATAGTGAAAAGCAGGTCACCGCTCAGTCTTGCCCCTTACCTGCTCAGCTAGTTTCCCAAAATTGATAACTGTTACTAGGGTCCTTTCTGAGAATAATATTTGGCTACTTTTTATTTTATTTTCAAGCTGCCCTCCTGCCTTGGCCTCCCAGAGTGCTGAGATTACAGGTGTGAGCCACCATGCTATCAAAACGGGGAGGGGGGGTAAGGTTTTTTTGGAAAGCAAGATTTGTTGAGAGGACAGAAAAGCTCCCATAGTGGGAAGGGACCCAAGGGAGTTACCCTGAAAAGCAGTTTTTAAAGGACTTTTAGTAGCAGCAACTAACACTTTGAGTTGTAAGGCTATAACTGGGAATAGTCAATGTTTTGATTTTCTTTTCCCTCTTGTCTTTTTTAAAATTTCTGATTCTTATTAAGATATTTCTATAAGCCTGATTAATAGCTTCGAATAAAGTTGATTTTTAAGCCAATGTGTTTTCCCCAAGAGTACTTTTTGTTCAATATTTAGTAAATGAAAAAGCATCTCATAGTATGAGATTCTGTGTAAGGACTCAACTATGAGACAATTCCCTCTTTTCTAATATGTGACTTCAGGAAGTTAGAAACCTTACTTTACATTCAGTTATCTACTCCAATTTCAGGCTTATGATATATTAGCATACTTTACATATTCATTCCACAGCATAAAAGGAATCTCTGTACAACTATCAAAATCTGGGTTTTGGGAGAGATTGGTCAAAATTTCATTTAGGAGGAATAAGTTCAAGAAATCTATTGTACAACATGGTAACTACAGTTAATAGCAACGTATTGTATTCTTGATAATTGCTGAGTAGACTTTAAGTGTTTTCACCACAAAAAGATAAGTATGTGAAGTAATATATATATTAATTACTTCAATTTGGCTGTTCCACTATGTATATATATTTGAAAACAACATGTTGTACATGATAAATATATACAACTTTTGTCAATTTTAAAAAACAAATATTTTAAAAAGAAAGCTAGGTTTTTAACAGTCATGTGAACAAAGTATATTCACATCAAGTAATACACAGATGAAATGACCATAACTTTCTTATTTTAATGATTTTGTTCATGTCTGTTGTTCATTATTTAGGTCTTCTTAATGTCATGTTTAAATCATATTATATACAAACTGTAGGTGTTGGTCTCAAAATTAATTAATGTAAACTACTCTTCTAAAGTAATCAAATATAGACTTTTTTTGGTGATTGTGTTTTACTGTCATTCCTAAGCATCTGAGCTTCCCTTATTAGAATTATTTTCTTTTCTGTTGGGGATAAATGGAGATATTTCAATTTTAGATTAATATGTAGAAGGATTATATACAATTATTTTTAAATAAACTTTGCAAGGAAAATGAAGTTGACATTTAAATAATGATCCTAGGGTCTTCCCTTATTTTAGTTAATACTTATGTTGGTAATGATAGTGGAGTGGCAAGATATTCCCACTACTGGAGCAAACATGGAAGATGTTTAATAAAGATAAGGTGGGGATTTCCTTTACTACTGAATGTGGCCAAAATCGCACCTCAAAAGTAAGGCAACCATTTGGGCAGTTAGTGAGTCCTTCAGGAAGGAAAGCAGACATATGGAAACACACATACAATCTACTTTTACTGAAACAGCTCATATATGGGGACATTGATCTTTGTTTTGACATTTTATACACACATTAGATCCATCTTCATGTTTCAACATCAGTGTTCCTTCAGATGGTCAGTACTGGGAGTAAAATGGAAATCAGTCTAAAGAACAGTGAATGTAACTTCATAAAAGCAAGAACTACAGAGTGGGTAGAAACATCATTGAAAGAGATAATAGCCCTCTGCCTGTACTCTGAGGAGAAGCTGTTTATTCACGGGGTCATTTGCAAGACTGGTAAACTGTCAAGTACAGCAACTCTAGAGGGTTGGTGAACTTAAGCTTTTAGATCATTGACAGTATTACTGTAGAGTAAGCAAAGAAGTTAATATAGAGCTCCATTTTTTGAAACTGCTTGATATTTTAATACTTTGTTGGTACATCTTGAGTTCAAGTATTTTTAAGGTGAGGATCAATCTTTTTTTTCCTTTTGGAGTTAGAGTCTCACTCTATCACCCAGGCTAGAGTACAATGGCATGCTCCCGGCCACTGCAGCCTTAACCTGCTGGGCTCAGGCGATCCTTCTGCCTCAGCCTTCCAAGTAGCTGTAACTACAGGTGTGCGCCACCATGGCTGGCTAATTTTTTATTTATTTATTGTAGAGATGAGGTCTCACCAAGTTGCCCAGGCTGGTCTTGAACCCTTGGTCTCAGGCAATCCTCTCACCTTGCCTCCCAAAGTGCTGGAATTGCAGGTGTAGCCACCACGCCCAGCTGAGGATCAATGTTGATAACATGGTCACAGACTCACCACAGGCCAACTGATTTTATACTTCTGTAAAATCAGTGAATGTCCTCTTCTTCTTCCTAAATTAAAAGTCTTTTCAAACTCTTTTTACTATGAAATAGCATGTTTTAGGCCTCAACAAAGAGGAAAGATTTATTGTTCTTATTTTACATCTTGGTATTACTAGTTACTGCAGTTGTTAGGGTTTTGAGCTTACAGTTCCATCTTGAAGGTCTATTTTCTAAGATTTTTTCATCTGTTAAATTTATCACACTGAGCAATCTTAGACCATCTCTTTTTCTGTTCTTGAATGAGCACTTACTAGAGAGAAAATAATTTATTCAAAAGTTTGCACACAAGGGAACACAAGGTGGCTGTTTGCTTGGGATTCAGTACATGTATTCATAGATTTGCAGACAGTCCAGTAAAATTTGCCTAGTCATGAAACCCAGCCAAGAAAAACTGCTTCCCTTGCATCATAGAAAATAAGTGGCATATATTCACAACTGGTCTTTTTTCTTTGGATTTTACTTTGAAAATATTTCCACCCTTCTCGAGAAGTCCACCTGCTAGGCTTACTGCCAATCCCAGTATTTGGAAATGAGTAAAGGGTGTTGAGTGTTTGTCTTGTGCAAAACTGAGTTCTTGAGACTGTACATGAGCTGCTATAGCTGAATGGAGATTGGTGAGGGAAAGAGAGGATATTTCTGTTTTTCTCTGGAGCAGACAGCCAGACAGAAAATTCTCATAGTGTAATAAAAGGGCAGGAAATAATCAGATGCTAAGTTATAGCCAAGACAGAACTTTGGGATTCTTGTTTTCCCTTTCTATAACTGGAGATAATACAAGTGAATAATTTTCTGTAAAATTGTCTTTTCATTGACTTTGCTGTTAACATATTTAGGATCTGGAGTGTTTATTGTAATTCTCAAGGACATTAGTAAACGTTCTGATACATTAAGATAACTTATTTTCCTGCTTTCAGGAGTTAGAGTACTTAGGCTGAGAGAAGAAACATTTACTCCTTGAATATAATTTTCTTTAATCAAGTTTTTAATTTTAAAAATTAGACTTTAGGACTTAGACTTACCACAATTATAGCTTACAAGCAAGCTATAAACTTCCTGACAACTCCAAATGAAACTCTTAATTAATTGTAGCAGCTCTCTTATCCTTTTTGTTTGTGACAATCTATTCAACCCTTAAAAATGAAAAAGAAGCCCTGTATGCACCTTAAGGGGAGGTACTCGTTTTAATAATGGCCTTCATAAAGTCTCATATTAAATAACATGTTTTGTTTCACAATGTAAATAAGCACCTGTAACTCTGTCTGCCTTTTTTTCTTCTCTGGGTTTCTTAGATAGTTTTGTTGTTACTGAGGATTTAGTTTGCTGAATACATGCAAGTGGTTTGTGTGTGTGTGTGTGTGTGTGTGTGTGTGTGTGTGTGTGTGTGTGTGTAAAAGGAGGGAGCTGAGCCTAGCAAGTTGAGGCTGCAGTTGTTACTGAGGATTTAGTTTGCTGAATACATGCAAGTGGTGTGTGTGTGTGTGTGTGTGTGTGTAAAAGGAGGGAGCTGAGCCTAGCAAGTTGAGGCTGCAGTGGCCGTAAGCATGCCACAGCACTCCAGCCTGGGTGACAGAGTGAGTCTCCAACTCAAAAAAATAAAAGCTATAAAGAAAAAATAAAGTCTTTGCTGTATCTCAGACTGCAATTATAAAAGATAACATAATATAAATGATTAGTTAATAAATAGTACTTAACTATTAACCTTCTAGCTACTTAGATCTCCCAAGATTACTTGGAATTGAATAGTTTATAACCAGTCCTTGTACTAGGCTGAGACATTTAGTAAAATTAAGGTGGAACTCTTTTCATTATGTCTGCTACCTAACACAAGCACAAAGACCTTTTTGTAGCTAATAAGAAAGAGAAAAGGTAAATATCAGACATCTGTTTTTTACCATACATCTAAAAGAGCCTAATAAATACAGGGAATGTACTGGGAAAAAGTGATCCTTGATTCGTTTTCTTCCTTTGTTATTTAGCTTGTATGTTAAGATATCAGTAATAAAGAACGATTGTACATTTGATTAACAAATATGTTGGAATTTTCTTTTTGGTTTGTAGTTAATAGTCACCCAAACTAATTAGCAAATATCATACCCATTGTTTTTCTGACTCCTTTGAATTAATACATACTGATGGCTCCCTTACCCTCACCGACTGCCCTCACTATTATTAACAGGAAATATAGTCTTTTGGGAGTCAAGACTCCAGTCTCCTCTGCTGACTCAGTCTGTGAGCATGGGTAAGTCTCAGAAGCTCTCTCTGTCACACTTTGCCCATTGTAACATCCATATGGCAACTTCCAGTTCATGTGTCTTTCTCTGGCTGTCCTTCCTCATTACATCATGTGTTCTTATATCTCATTATCACTTTTGTCTTATACTGTTCATTGGGCAGCAGAAACAGAAAGAATAGAAGATAACTTCCATCTCAGTTAACTGGTAGAATTTTCCATAGATACAAATTAGTCATGTTGCTGCTTAATACATTCCTCATGGTGTATTATTAAACATACATGCCAGCTCTCAATCAGTCATACTTTCCCATCATATTTAAAAAGAGAAATCAGTGTATGCTATTCTCAAAAATAATGTATCTAATTTGAAATATGCAATATCTGTGTATGCATGGTTTTCAAGGGCTAGCAAATATGTAGTAACATTTTTGTAGTGGCATCAGACTATCAGTTAAAAGACAATGTTCCAGCTTTTTTTTTTTTAGGCACACATTACTCATATTATTTTATGGTCATTTATCTTGTTGTTTTTATTAAGAAAATGCTAACAGTTGGGTGTCTGTTTTCACCAGCCTAAATTTTTGTTAAATGTCCTCTGTGTTTAATAAAGATATAAGAAAAGCAAAAAAGTCTGATTTACAACTTGCCTTTGGTTCTTGTAGGCTAAGTTTAAAAACTGATGAGTGTTAGAATTGGTCAGCACTCTGCAGATTTGTGATTCATAGCTCCAAAATAGAAGACCCTCTTTGACAGAAGCCTTGATCGCGACATAGCAGTTACGAAGAATATTGATTGGACTACTTGATCAAATCACCATCATGTATTATATGAAAGAAAAGCTTGCCATTATCAGAATACTCAGCTCTGCCAGTGTATTAAAAATTATTATTGCTAGCAAATATTTATTGAATGATCATTGTGTGTCTTACCCTAAAATAATTCCTAGATTTTAAGCCTCTAGTACACTCTTGGCAGTTCAGAAGTAGTATAGTGTCTTATAAAATTTGGGAGTACATAGATCATTAAAAGTATTTCCCCTGACTATATATAGAAAGTTAGAGATGATTCTTGCAGATAACTGAGAGGAAGGAAAACCTAGTTTTAAAGAGTTTGTAGAGTCATGTCTAGCTAGAGCCTGCTCCATTGCACAAAATGTGTGGCAACAGGTCCGCCAAAGGCTGTGCCTCGTCTATAAATAGGAATAATCAGAGGTGTAACTCATAGGCTGTTGGAAAGATTAAATGAAATAAAGCATTTAAAGTGACTAGCAATACATGGCACATCTGAAGCAGTCAGTACTGTTCCAGTTACCCAGCCTTGCTTGCTTGATGTTTAGTACCGTGATGGGGCTGCATTCGCAGTGGGTAACAGCACCAGCTCTGAAGCCACCCTAAGTCCAGATGCTGGCTACACCATTACTAGCTTTGTGAATTCGGATCAATTAGTTATCCTCTTTTTGTCTCAGTTATCTTTTCTGCACAATGGAGATCACACTAGTACTTGTTTTGTAGGCTTGCTATGCGGATTTGATAAATTAATCTATGTCAAGAATTTAAAACAATTCAGGCACATAGTTACATCTTTATTTGTTGTTAGTATGTATATTTTGACAGTGCAGTGCAGCTGACCCTGGAGCAATGTGGGGATTAGGGGCGCCAAACTTCTGTGCCACATAAAACTTTTGACTCCCCCCAAACTTAGCTACTGGTAGCCTACTGTTAACTGGAAGCCTTACGGGTAACATAGACACTCGATTGACACATATTTTGTATGTTAATATGCACTATACATTGTATTTTTATCATAAAGTAAACTAAAGAAAAAAAATGTTAAGAAATCATGAAGAAAATACATTTATAGTAATTGTGCTGTATTTATCGATACTGTAAGTTGATGTCTGTTTATAAGATGATGCATCTGTCTGAAGTGGTGGGCAGTGGCAGATCTCAATCTACGGTGTATATCAAGAAATTCAGTTTTTTCTTGTAATATCATGCCTCTTCTCTGCTTCTTGGGAGCACTTTCAGCATCATTAGTGGCACTTTGCATGGGTCCCGTGGTATTCAGAGTTTACAATATTGCACTAAACGTTATGAGAAATACACGAAGACTACGAGACATCACTTTTTACTGCAGCCAGCAAATTACTGGAGAGATGAACTGCTCATGAGGAGATGATTAGCGTCACAAGGTGCTTTAAGCAGACACTCGCAGCACTTGAGCTCACTGCACTACTGACAGGAGGTGGTTACAAAATTATCACAGTAGTACAATACTGTATGTGCTAGAGTTGCTTTTTTGCAGTTATGATTTAATGCTACTTCTTTACATTTGTTTACATTTCTCTGGGGACTGCAAATGGTACCATGTATAGTCTGTATGTGTTTGTGTGTACGTTTTGATAAATTTAACTTTTTGTAAATGGTATGTGTATGTTTTGTGATGGTAAATGATAAAATAGATTAGTATATACATATATTTTGTGCTTTCATGACATACCTAATTTTTCTTAATTTTCTCAATATTGCTAGGCTACATGGTTCATCTGTGGATTTTTTAAATTGTCATAAAGCTCCAATAATTTTTTTAGTATATTGAAAAATATCTGCATGGACCCATGCAGTTCAAACCCACTTTTTTCAAGGGTCAAATGTATTTATTTTCTTCTCTCTCTCTTTTTTTTTTTTAGATTGGAAAATATAGTTTATTCAGAAAGTAAATGAGAGATAGAGAGAAGCATGGCCAAGTCAGATGTATTCATACTGAATGAATATAGTTTCCACTATAACTTGCTTTATAACTTAGTTTTTTAAAAAAAAAAATAGTTTCAGTAATGTTTACCCTCATTTCCTACAAGTATTTCTTTTCAAATAAGTCAGAATGGCATGCAGTTTCTTAATGTCTCACCATGTACCTTCATAAGATTTGAAGAGCAACTTAATCTGATGAGTGCTGAGAGGGCAAATGGATAGGCACTAATTTCCCATGAAGTTCGTCTCTCATTGGTACTGCCAGTTCCCACAATCCTAGCATTCCCTGGCCATCAGTCAGTGTCTACAAAAAAGGATTTTCAAATATTAAAGCATGTGAAAAGACAAACAGGCCGAAACTCAGAGCTCCCTAGGGACCATGACCTCCAAAACAGACTCCATTCTGACATTTTCACAGGCTACTTGAAGGAATTCCAGCAGGGTCATTCCATTTGGTAAACTCCTAAACAAATCCTCTGTCATCGAGGCCTGATTTATAGATTTTTCTTCTTCATATATACTTTTCTGAAGAGATTAAGATAGTAGATATGGTTGCTGAGATTCTTTTGAAAGGCATTTGATATATATAAGAACTATATAGAAGACTTTTGGTATTTTGCACTAATAAAACAGTTACTTGGAATTTTTAGAGAGATTTCTTGTTCTGAGTTGTCTTCTAAATTATATTTGATTCAAGGAAATCTATGTCATAATCATAACCCCAGATTAAGTTTTTTTCATTATTAACCCAATCATTTAACAAAAATTAATTAAATCAGAAATAATCTTTAAAAAAACAAATATATGTTAAAAGTACAAATGTTTAAATATATATATAGATACTGGCTTCACAGTGCCCTTTATAATATGCAAAAACAGAAATAGTTCTAATGTTTTAGAATATTCTTCTATGAAATCTTGGTGTGACAGCAGCTATTTATATGAAACTTTTAAGATCACTAAAAGATCACTAGATCTGTAATTGTTTTACACTTATTTTACAGTTAATCTGGAGCCCCTTAAAATATTTTATTATGTATATAAATTTCTTTTTTGGAAAAAGAATATTGTGCTATAAATAAATGAGAAAACAGAACCCAAGAGTAACCTGGACAACTTAAGGAAAGGGTAATTAGGATTTATTTGACCTTAACTGCAAGCACCCTCATGGTGGTCTCATCTGAAGTCTGTGAATGGAATGTATGAAACTCCAGGGGTGAATACCGGTCCATATTGGAAGGGTCAGGTTTGTTGGAGGATTTTGTATGGTTTCTTCCCTTCTTTGCATATTTCTTTTTAATGTTTCTTTAATCCTTTAGGTGAATCCACAGAGTTTTAACTGTTAAATAAGCATCCTACACAATAAAAAAGTTCTTATGATTTGATAACCTGATTCTGTTGTAGGAATGTAATATGTTTTGAATGAGTTTTAAAATGGGACACAGGCAAGTCAATTGATTTATGATTTCAACCAAGCTTCTTAAAGTTAGTAGTAAAAATAAAATTCACTTTATCATAGTCTAATAACCTGTTGTGAACCCGGGATATCTTCAGTTTCCTCAATTTAAAAAAAAAAGAAAGAAAAGAAATGAAAGTAAGATAATAAATTGGCTAGTAATTGGTCAAAAGTAGTTATTGAGTGTACTAGAAAACTGTGTGGCTCTTGGCTGATGTTTAAAATATAAATAAAATATGTGTGCTGAAAAAGATGTGTGTGTATTACTATTTTTCTCAAGCCAAGAATAACAGTGATATTTAACTAGATATGCTCTTAATATAAGAAATTATTACTTTGCTAATATAGTTTCTAATAGATTTTTCTATCTCTATATTTCTGGTTTTTTTTCTTTAAAGAGATGGAATTTGATTAAATAACAGTTTGCTGATGGACTAGTGAAATCTCTGGTTGCATCATTGTGTGTTTATTTATTTGCACATAGAAGTAGAATAGCTCCCTGATTGATTGCTGAATGCTTTCTGAACCCTCAAAAGAAGCGAAATGAATGTACCTTCATAAAGTTGAAGATTTTATTTGGGTATCTAAATATTTGGAGGATTTTCCAGATAAAGGAATTTAAACTTGTACCAACAGATTAAGTTAGAATTGAAAAAACTGAAATTTCAAGAAATCTAATAAGTTAGTCTTAAATTATGGCTGTCAGGTCAAAGTGGTTTTAGAAAGTTAGGGTTTTTTTTTTCTTCAATGATTACATTGAGACTATTTAAAGTATACTTTCTCCTGAAATGTATACATTT